TTCTTGTACAGTCCGCAAACAGAACTGCAAGCTGAAAACTGTGCTCATATGTAATGTCAGAGCATGGGCTCATCACCTCCTTCATCCTCAGGATTAAATAATATTTATTATTATTAATAAGAAAAGAAGTAATAGCTAACAGTGCTGAGATCATATACAAAGAGAGTATTCTCTTTGCATTCCCTACATGATTCCTGGGAATAGTTTCTGCCAGAGCAAATCCGTTTCCTAGAAGAGAAGGTGAATGAATAGGATCTAGCTCTGTCCATGTGCAATTACATTAGCAAAGACCTAAGCAGGTTTTCAAAGAACTGTGGTTTCTAAATAGAGACTCTCTCATATATACAATGCCATGGTTAGATGAAATTCTAAAGTTCAAGGGAAATGACACAATTTTGAAATGATGCTGTGTGTACACAGCACCCAGTCATCCAAATGAGTGCTTGAGCGAATCGTTTAGGAATGTGGTATTTGCTAACCCAGACTTTTCAAGTCATTCTTGGAACTATGTTCTGTGGTTCAGATGCAATTTTACTACTCATGGATGTAGTACACTATAGCAAAGCTGCACTTTAATTTGTTTGCTTCTAATCGACCACAGGCTAGGAAACCAGAAGCTAAATTGGTTAGAACTCTGTTTTAAGAATGACTAGCTTCCAACTTTGGACCAATTAAAGTGATCTGCAAGTAGAAATAGATTTAAATGCAAGGCTTATTGATTTTTGAGCTCACCGAAACAGAAGGTTTAAAAGCAAACAAAAGTCCATGAGTTGTCCACGTAACAGAAACATTTTCATTAGATTATCTTCTCCTCCCTCCCCCAGCCCAACACAATATTTCCTTTTTTCAGGGGTGGAAGACCATTTCAAGATATTGATATTTTTCTGTGGTGTGAGGAATCAAACCTAGAATCTCACACATGCAAAACAAGAGCCATATCACTTGTGCTACTGCTACCTCCTCACCCCTTGAAAGGAACGAGACTATTTAAACAGGGTCCTGAGGAAGTCACCTGTGACTTGTCTCCTATCTGATACAGCCCATGCAAGACTGCAATCAGAAATAGACCCAGGAGCAGGCTGTTCACATGTCCTCAAAGACCAGATGTCCCAAAGCAATTTGGTTTCTTTCATGACAACCATTCACATGTCTGGCACGTTCACTGTGTTCTTCTCACGGATTTTCTAATCACTTAGGCTGAGGTGCCAGCCACAGAGTTCCTGGCAGAAGTGACACACACAGAGACACAAACACAGACACAGACACAGACAGACAGACACACACACACACACACACACGAAACGTGCCCCTGAGGACTGCGTGTGCATACTGTCTTGGACAGGAGCGGGGACTTGTATGTTCTTTATCCATTTCTGTTACAGTGATTATCAGTAATGTGTGTCTGGGGCACCCAAGACCAATCTCTGTGATGCTCATCAGGCCTTCCCTATTTTTCTGGAACCACTCAGAACGGGGTATGTGAGTGGGTGTGGGAGGCTTAAATGCTGGAAGAATGTGGCAAAGCCAGATGTGAAATAGACCTCCCCGAGAGAAGAAGAGACAACCAAGCACAGGCTGGAGAGGGGTGGCTTTCTCACTGAAATGTGGATTTATAATATTGTGCAAGCCCACATCCAAGTCAGAATGCCTGTCCAGATTAGATGTCAAACTGGCCTGTTATCGTCTCTGATTTTTACTGAGAATCTTTGAAGAAGAAAGAGTCCTTTGGGGGGCTAATTGATGCCAGGCCTGAGAGTGGGACACAGATCTCCATGGCTACTTCAGAAGAATACTTCTGATAGTTTTCAACCTAGGTATCACATACGGTTTCAACTGGAGCACACACCTTCTGAGCATAACAAGAGAGAGAAGGTTCATTGTTTGATGGCAACAGCATTAAGTATTCCACGATAGTGAGAACTGTGCAGTTAAGAGTTAATGCTATAAAATCCACAGAACTGTCCATCATAAATAAATCTAATAAAATCTGTTCAGAGAGTACTCTGGCAATTCTGACGAGCCTGTTACAAAGTCATCCAAGATCAGAGACATAAAAAATTTTATTAGTCATCACTGAAATAAAGTGCAAAAAGTTCATTTTAGAAAGATCTCCCCCAAAATTTACGCTTTTCATCTGTAGTGTCTTAAAAAGTTCTTGACCATTTTTAAGTGATATTCTAATTAATGGCTTCATTTTTATGGTTTCTTGTAACCTGTGTTTTAGACATTAACAAGAAAGGGTGAAAAGAAATCTCCTTGGTACACTGAGCATCAGTTCTAAGTCCATTGCACAAACCCACTGGTCCCATAAGCCAGACTTTGGTGTAAAATCATTGCTAGAAACAGAAGAACTGTTAATCTGAAGATTATTGTTATTTTCACATTGATTAAAGTAAGGTGTGAAATATGTACCAAATTCATAAACTGATGAAAAGTCTTTCTAGCCGTGTCTATCTTGCACAGAAAACATTATCTGGGGGACATTTTTACAATTCTAGAATGTGTCTGCATTTTGTAATACACAAACAACATACAATCACATACTCAGTAATTACGGTGAAAAAGTATGATCAAACAATTTTGCATTCACCTGATCACTTGATACCCTCTTACTCATCGATTTGCTTGAGCGGGCGCTAGTAACGTCTCCATTCATACTTGTTGCATGCTAGCGTAGCCCAATGGCATCTGCTCATTCTAGGAACATGAAGAGCCTCAAACCAATCATTCAGGGTCTTGACGAAGAAGTCTGACCATCTCGTAGGTGGGCGTCCACGCAATCTTTTGACGTTCCGTGGAATCCAGTCAGTAATGACTCTAGTCCAGCGCTCGTCTCTAAATCTCATTACATGTCCAGCCCATCTGATATTTGATGCCTTGGAAAATGAGACAGCGTCCCTGATTCTTGAGCATTGATGGAGATTGGAACTCCGGATTCTATCTCTCATTTGAGTGAAGCATGATACTCCAAGCATAGCTCTTTCGATTCCTCTTTGAGAGACCCGAATAGTGTCCTCATCCTGTTTTCGTAGGACCCAGGTCTCGGAGGCATATGTTAATGCAGGAAGAACAGTGAAATTGAAGAGATGTGCTCGGAGCTGGAGATTCTTTGTCCTCTTAGTGATTTCTTCAACGCTCTTGAAGGCATTCCAAGCCGCTCTCTTCCTCCTGCCGTAACTCAGGTGCCAGGTCATTTGTCATGTTGACTTCTCGACCTAGGTATATATAACTGTTGCATTTGGAGATGGTCATTTCGTCAAGAGTGAATGGAACATCAGGAACAAGACTGCTTCTCATGAACATTGTCTTTGTGAGATTCAGTTGTAATCCGACCTTTCCACACTCACTGTCGAAGTCGGTCAGCATTTGTGTTGCTTGGCTGATGTTTGGTGTTATTAGAACGATGTCATCAGCAAAGTGGAGGTGGTGTAGTTGCCGACCATCTATCTTTACTCCCATTCCTTCCCATTCCAGTCGTCGCATGATGTTCTTGAGGATGGCATTAAAGAGTTTCGGTGAAATAGTATCACCCTGCCAAACCCCTCTCTTGACATGGATGATTACTTCTTTGTAGAATGGTGAGATCCTGGTAGTGAATCCATAATACAGCTCACGGAGGATTCTGGTGCATTGAGTTTGAACGCCCTGATTGGCTAGGGCTTCAATGACCACTTCCATCTCAACAGAATCAAAGGCCTTCTTTAAATCAATGAACGTTAGACAGAGCGGCATCTTGAACTCCTGAGAAACCTCAATGAGCTTGGTTATTGTGTGGATATGGTCGATGGTTCTGAATCCTTTTAGGAACCCTGCTTGCTCGCATGGTTGTCCTTCATCTAGTGTCCTGCCAATCCTATTCAGGATGACTCGAGTGAACAGTTTGTAGATGACAGACAATAGGCAGATTGGGCGATAGTTCCCAATGTCATGGATGTCTCCCTTCTTGTATAGTAGTACAGTCCTGCTGGTTTTCCATTGGGACGGAACCTTGCATTCAGACAGGTAGCGTGTGAAGAGCCGAGCCAGTGTATTGATGAGTACTGATGGTAAGTTTTTCAGGTGTTCAGGTCTGACCTTGTCTGGGCCAGGAGCTCTTTGTTTCTTTACTGACGAGATGGCGTGTTGGATTTCGGAAGGGAGAACATTGGGAATGACATATCCATCCTGCGGAATGTAGTATGTGGGCAAGTGGACGTGGCTATTAAAGAGATCTGAGTAGAAGTCATGAATAATCTTTTCCATTGCCCTTCTAGAAGATATGATAGATCCATCAGGACATCAGAGGGCAATCATCTTGGTCTTGTAGTTGGTGAAGGACAGGCAGGCATTACGAATGCTTTTCCCAGCTTCTGCAGCGTCTACCAGCACTGCTGCTCTTCTGTCTTTGAGGTCATCCTTGATCGCTTCTCTGCACTGCTTTGCCAGCTCGGACGTTTGCTTGCGGTTGCCTGAGGCATACGCCAAGCCATGTTGGCAAATAAGTTCAAGAGTGTTCGAAGAAAGGCGTTTTTTTGTGGTTATCCCTCTCTTGGCATTCCTCGCACAATCATGGAGGTGCTGAACCATTCGATCGTATTCCTCGTTAATGTTGTCAATGACGGCATCTTCCCATGTTGCCGCAACAGAGCCAAAGAGCTCCCAGTTGGTGGTCGTTCTGGGAGTTCTCTTCTTCAACTTTGCATTCTTTTCTCCCCACTCTGTGTAGTAGAATTTTGCACGAAGGAGATGGTGCATTATGGTTTAATATACTTCAACCAGAGGCAGAATGTTCTGGTTTAATACCCTTCAACCAGAGGCAGAGATGGTCAGGATAAGGTGGGGTACTTTTGTTTCTAGAAAAGACTCTGCTAGAGAAAAGATTTTTTTAAGTGCTCACCCAGCTCCAACCAGGAACAGAAATTTTCTTTCGGAAAATGAAATTTTAAAAAGTGGCTCTCAATTGCTTCAGTTATCATTTTCTAAATGTCACAAAGATCTCGCCAATGCATAAATTCACCTACCTCATAATATAAAGGTCCACTGATTACAGGTTTCTTTCCCTTTGCTTTTCCCGTGGCTCCAGGAAGTGGATGTGCTTCATTGATCTGTAAGAGATGATCACTGAATTGGGGAAATGCTGGTAGTAACGTTGGTAAGCTGTAGATAACTATGAGTAGGAGCTATCCGACATGGCATAGAGTATTTCTCTGTTATGACTCTCTTGAGTTTTGCCAGGCAGAATTCTCTGTAGATGCTACTTTTAGCCCTGGGTGTAGACTACCCTAGAATGTGAGTTTCATCTTTTACTGTTGAATCTCTAACTAAGTAACTCCTAGATTCTGGCATAGCGCTGGTGTGATCCTGACATGAAATTCTGGTGTCAGATGATGTTATCTGAAATGATAACATTCATAGACTTAAGAAAACATTCCATCCATATTAAAGAACCCAAATTTATGCTTGCCTTTACAGTATTTGTTTCAAATAACCCACCAAATTTCACCCCAAAAGCTTAATAATTTTTTTTCCATCCTATTTTAGGAGAAAGTATGCAGGAAGCTTAGTGATAGGAAGGGTCTGGTACCTGCTGGAGAAGTTCTTTCCAGGATACCACGCTGAAGAGTTTCCGTTGAGGAAGTTCCACAGCCTGGAGGAGGGCGCTGATGAGAAGGTCATCCTCCACCTGGTTCCCAACCACAAAAGCGACGGAGCCCTTCCAATCGGCCTGTTAGAACCGGAAAGAATTCCATTAGAAAGACTTCAGTCGGGTTATCTTTAAGTCAAAGCTTCCTACAAAAAAAAAAAAAGGTAAAATTTTCACTAACCCTTACCTTAAAATCCTGGCTTTAAGGAAAATGATCTTGTAATAATGTATGTGGACACTTGACTCAAGTAACCACAAGGCGGCAATATTGTGCCAAATTTCATGCAACTTGACCAAAAGTAATTTTCTTGAGAAATTTAGGCCTAAATTTTAAGACTTTTTAAAAAATTTGGTGGTGAGAAGCAATAGATTATTCATATGTTGATAATATACATCAAGATAAAATTTCATAAGCGGGAATCTGTTTTGTTCCCACATACATCCAAAGACTCTAGCAACATACTGAAAGCTCGATAAAGATTTTTTGATTATTGGCCAATATTGGCCTGGAGCAGCACAGCGGGTAGGGCGTTTACCTTGCATGCAGCCAACATGGCTGACCCGAGTTTGAATCCTCCGCCCCTCTCTGAGAGCCCGGCAAGCTACTGAGAGTATCTAGCCCTCACGGCAAAGCCTGGCAAGCTACCCGTGACGTATTCTATATGCCAAACACAGTAACAAGTCTCACAATGTTACTGGGCCCACTCGAGCAAATCGATGAACAATGGGAGGACCATGACTGTGACCGTGGCCAATATTAAATGAACAATTTTATATGAGGTAAATGCCAAATTCCTGGAATTTTTGTAAAACATAAAACTAAAAATTTAAAAATTTAAAAATTTGACTAGCAAAATTTCTAATTCACAAATAAGATTTTTTCACTCTCAATCACTGTATCACTTGATCACTTGACATCCCATTACTCATCAATTTGCTGGAGCAGGTGCCAGTAATATCTCCATTTGTCCCTGTCGCATGCTAGTGTAGCCCAATGGCATCGGCTCGCTCTAGGAACATGAAGAGCCTCAAACCCTTCAAGGTCTTGACGAAGAAGTCCAACCATCTCGTAGGTGGGCGGCCACGTGATCTTTTGACATCCTGTGGAACCCAGTCTGTAATGGCTCTAGTCCAGCGATTGTCTCCAAATCTTATTACGTGTCCAGCCCATCTGATTTTCAATGCCTTGGCAAACGAGACAGTATTCCTGACTCTCGATCATTGATGGAAGTTGGAACTCTGGATTCCTTCTCTTGCTTGAGTGAAACGTGATACTCCAAGCATAGCTCTTTCGATTCCTCTTTGGGAGACCTGAATAGCGTTCTCATCCTGTAGGGTCCAGGTCTCTGAGGCGTATGTTAGTGCAGGGAGAATGGTGGAGTCGAAGAGATGTGCCCAGAGCCGTAGGTTCTTCATCCTCTTAACTATTTCTTTGATGCTCTTGAAGGCGTTCCACACTGCTCTCTTCCTCCTACGCAGCTCAGGTGCCAGGTCATTCGTCATGTTGAGTTCTCAATCTAGGTACACATAGCTGCTGCATTCAGAGATGTTTGTTCTGTTGAGAGCAAATGAAACATCAGGAACAAGTCCGTTTTTCATGAACATTGTCTTTGTGAGATTCAGCTGCAGTCCAACCTTTCCACACTCATGGTTGAAGTTGGCCAGCATTTGTGCCACTTGGCTAATGTTTGGTGTTATTAGAACAATGTCATCAGCAAAGTGGAGGTGGTAACTCCCATTCCTTCCCATTTTAGTCACTGGATGACGTTCTCGAGGGTGGCACTGAAGAGTTTTGGTGAAATGGTATCACCCTGCTGAAATCCTGTCCTGACATCAATGATCACTTCCTTGTAGAATGGTGAGATCCTGGTAGTGAATTCGCAATACAACTCATGGAGGATCCTGAAGTATTGAGTTTGAACGCCTTGTTTGGCTAGGGCTTCGATGACAGCATCAATCTCAACAGAATCAAAGGCCTTCACAGAGCGGCATCTTGAACTCCTGAGAAACCTCAATGACTTTGGTTAATGTGTGGATATGGTTGATCATGCTGAATCCTTTTCAGAACCCAGCTTGCTTTTATGGTTGTCCTTCATCTTGTGTTGTGCCAATTCTATTCAGGATGACTCAAGTTAACAGCTTCTAGACGACAGACAACAGGCAGATCAGGTGATAATTGCCAATGTTGTGGATGTCTCCCTTCTTGTACAGTAGAATGGTCCTGCTGGTTTTTCATTGGGACGGTATTTCATTACCTTATTCATTGTAGATAGTGCTTCAGGCAACATATGGATGCAGGCATCTTCTTGATATGTGCATTTCTATGTTTTTGCTTTAGTTTTTTTGGTATATATTTTATTTTTTGTGTACTTAGGAACAGAATTGCTACATCATATGGTAAATATATTCTAAAAAACCCCTGATAGTTGGTGATGATAATTAGTTTTTAATATGCTTTTTTTGCCATTTCTATGCCTTCTTTGAAATGTGTTCAACTCTTCCTCTTATTTTTTAAAACGGGATTGTTGTTGAGTTTTGTGAATACCTTAATATATTGAATATTAATTATTTTCAGATGTGTGATGTGCAAAAAATGACAGTAGGCTATGATTTCACTTTAATGATTGTTTCATTCACTGTACACAAATTTTTTCATTTAATGCAACAGTTTTCCTTGCTGTGGAAGATGAATTCCTAAATACATCGTGAGCGCCAATACCACAGATAATTTTATCTATATTTTCTTCATTTTATGGTGTTAGTTCCAACATCCAAGTTCTTAATGCATTTTGAGTTTATTCTTGTGAAAGGATTTAGAGAGTGATCCAATTCCAGACTTTTGCATATGTATGTCAAGTTTTCCCAACACCCTCTATTGAAGAGAATTTCTCCCCCTCCATTTTAGGTTCTTGGCTCTTTTGTTGTAAATAGATTGCACACATGTGTGAGATGTAATTCTGGGTTCTACAGAGTATCATATCAATTGATTTAATGTCTATTTTTATTTCAAGAGCATGCTGTTTTGATTACTATAGCTTTGTAGTATTGTTAAAGTCAGGCAGCATGCTTCCCCCTCAAGATTGCTTTAGTTACCCAAGGTCTTTTATGGTTCCATGTGAATTTCAGTAACATTTGTCTTATTTACATTATCAAATAGTAATAATTATCTTAAACTCATTTCTCTCCATAGAAACATCAACAAAAGCCCTGTAACAAAACCACCCAATTTTTAATGCTATCACCAAAACAAAAACAAGAGATAAGAGCATAAAATTTATTTTGCCTACAAGTGTTTGTGGATGGATGTTTGATGTGACTCAATTATTAATGAGCTTGAAACGGTTTAAATTGTTTGTCAATTTAGGATAAAAAAAGACTAAGCACCTGTTTTTAGAAACTAATTCTTAAAAGTAGGTATAACATAGCATCATTTTAAAAAAGTTCTTCATTATAAAAAATGACTGTAATCTTATTGGATTGATTCCTTCTTATTCTTGTCTGTGCCCCCATCAAAACTGCAATTATAATGATCATTAAAGATAGGAACTGTTTCTGATAGAGTGCACAAGGTTAAGAATAGGTAGCACATTGCAGAATGTCCATTACACTTTCAATACTGAAGTAAAGACTACTTCTACCCCACTGACCATCTCCACATGGCAAATGACTTTACCGGTCTTGAAAGCTAATGGTGAAAAGAAAGGGCTGTTTCTCAGCTACCAAGGGTGAGAATTTCGGGAGAGATCCGCCAGGGTCTCACCTGTCTTCTACCATCTAACCCTTAGTGTTTGGCATTGAAGGCAGGTGTTGACATTTCATAGCAGAAAAAATATAAGAGAGAAGGAAGGAACTAATAATTACTGAAAATCTTCCATGTGTCTGGCATATGTTATCTCATTGAATCCCTAGAAACACCTTTGCCTCAGTAGGAGTGGAAAGGTGGAGTACCAGGTGAATGTAGTCAGTCTCTTTGAATCTTGCCCATTGAACAGGTAGCCAGTCAAAACAGATAATGGGGCTGGGGTGGAAGACAGCAGCAGTAACAGGAAGCTGATCTCACCCCCTCCACAAATCTCCCCGCTTCCCCCACAAGCCTTCTCTCTCTGCATGTGCCCAGTCAGTCTGCAGGATCAGGTAGAGCCCACTGGTACCCGAGAGATGGCATATTCAAGCAGGGCTCAGAGACCCATGGACAGATAGTGAGCTAGGGACTCTTACCAACAAACACACAGTTGTCCAAGATTAGGAAAGCTGGGATAGCAGGGGTACAGCATCAGACACAAGCACAGGATTCTCACAAAGAGACTAGGAAAGCCAGAGTGGAGTCCATGAAAGGCACACCAACAAAATTTCAGACTTGGAAAGCATATTCTGGATAGAGAACAGCACAGATGCAAGACCAGGATGTCCACTAGTGGCAAGTAGAGTAGATCATGAGGGGTGGGACTTGGGAAGTCAGACACAGGACAGTCTGTGTGGGACTGGATGAATGATGTCACATATGAGTACAGGATAGGCCTGGACGTTTGAGGGATCCAGAACCCCCCCCCCAGTTCAACTGTAAGTAAACTCTAATTTCTTAACCTTCTGAGTTTCGCTTGCAAATCTATCACACCACTCGCAAGATTCCACCAGCACAGGAAAATCTACTTTCGTGCTAACACCCTTAAGTGGGTACACTGCTATTTTACAGGTATAAAAATGAAGACACGCACTCCCAAGTTAAAGAAATGTCTCTCTGGTAAAATAGTGCCGATGTAGGGCTTTATCTTAGTCATGGATGAGTGTTGAAACAGGTTGCCAGAACCGTCCAGGTCAGCATGAAATGGGCTGATCAGACAGTCACACAAAGGAAGCCTGGAGAAGCATGCACTCACCAGCCATCTGCACCAGGGGGCAGAGAGATGTCAGGAAATGCACAAGGAGACCACTAATGAAGAGCATGGCATTTCCGTGTCTAATTAATTCATTTAAAAAATAATAAAAAATAAAGCTCTGCAAATATGTTAAACCTTGAAGCACTTCAGGATAACTGTAAAGTCTTGTAACTGGCAGCAGCTTTAGAAATAGAAATTGTTTTGGAAAGAAACAAGATACGAATTGTATTTGGCAAAGTCCTATTGAAACTGTACCTCCACCCACAGCCCACACAGTACACGGTTCACAAACTTCTTAAGTTTGCCTTTTCTAGGCAGCAAGAAGAAATCGTATAGAGAGAAAACTTGTTGGCTGTGGAGGCCATATATAGCTTGATTCACCATACCTGGTTGGGGGCAGGGATGGCAAGGGTGCCCCTGCTTACGGGTGAGTTTATTTATGACCATTCAAAAACTTGGATGCCATTAGTGGTATTTTCCTGGAGAAAGTAAAACATTAATCATTTTGGAAAAAAATACTGGTGGAATGCAGAGGGTTTTAGTGGGGTACACCTCAGGAAATAAAGCCAGCTCTATTGCCTGGAGGCACATGTTTTACTTGGTTATTGCTGAGTCTTGCCCTCTAGCAGTTATTGATAAAGCCACTCAAAGGACGGAGTGAAGTCATGTATGGACACAATCCATTACCTTTTATTTACTTTACTAGCCTCACCTAATTTGAAGCCTGGCAGGAGAGCATCTTAACCCAAACACTTACATACTGGTCTCCTAAGGCAAGGAAGTATTCATGTAAAATGCAGAGACCCTGGCGGTCTCACACAAGCCTACTGTCCTGGAGACTCCTTTCAACTAATGAGAATTCTCAAAATTTGACTCTGGCATTTCTACTTTTTAAGAGAATCACAAAATACCATTTTTTTTACAAACATGGAGAAAGTAACATTTGGACAATGGGTTGGGGTTGGTTTGGGGACAGACACTGGAGGACACAGATGTTCTCTTCTGCTGTCTTTATGAACCTGTCTGAGAGGCCTGGGATGAGAATCCCCCAGTCCTCTAGGTCCGATTAGGGCCTGCCTAGCTCTCTCTCTCATGAGAGACTCAGAAGGTTAACAACAAGCACCTCTGTTTGGAGATGGACACACACTCCACATACACAGTGAATGCAGTGTTGGGAAAAGTCAAATTTTGCTATGAATTATTTAACATTGTGCAGACACACTAACGTGTACTTTCAATGTGTGTCCTGTTGAAAGGATAACCTTTTTGTTAAGTAGATTTACTGCCAAATGGACAGGGATTTGTGAATGTCTTTCTCATATGGGGCTTTTCCTTCAAAAGGAGTCTTGGATCTCCATCAATAAAGGAGTGTTAGTATGGGCTATGGGCCAACCAAAGAAATATTTTTATTACTAAGAGCTGGCCGCTATAATCGTATTTGTTAAAAAGAGATTCTAACTGTAAAATAAGTTGGAAATAAAGGTTAAAATGGGTTCGTGCTATAAAATAAGCAGGGATTCTATGCACAACCAGGAGATGCAGTTATCTAATTCATTTTATTTATTGTCTCTATTAAATTATCACTACAGACTCATCTCTAATTACAGGTTCTTCAAGATGTATCAAAAGTTTAGGTGCCAGTTTGACATAGTATCATGTTGTTTCACATACTACTTCCTACAGTAACTGATTCATTTTGCTGTCATGTTTTCTCAACCTGATTATAAAATATTTAGGTCACTTAGATAATAAGATGAGAGTGTCCTCACGAGTGTGCCTGTGTATACATGTATGTGCACGGGGAAGTTAGGGATTCAACCCAGGGCCTCAAACATGCAAGGCAAGTGCCCACCCACTGAGCTCCATCCCTAGTCCACCTCTAAAATTCTTATCAACTTGACTTTATGATGGAAGAATATTAGGGAGGGGTACAGAGAGAAAGGAGATAGAAACCAGACGTAAAATTAGTGACCGATGAGTCTCATGGGGGCACCCTGGAGCGGGGGTGGTGAGCCCACCACCTGCCCAAACAGAGCCTTGGCAGCCAAAAACTTCCATAACCTAATTGCCTCCAAGCTCATGGCTGGACTCCATAGGCTTAGGACGAGCTTTATCCAGGAATGAATCTTTTGAAAAACTCAGGTATGTGGATTTTGTGACCGAAATCTCCAGGCTCTCACAGAGTGGAGATGGGCAACCTCTCCCCATCTCCCTATTCTTCTTGGAACCCTGGCAGTCATGCCCATGAACTACCACTGACTCCATGGAAGCTCATTAACCAGCCATGATCTAGAGACTCATAAACAAATCTTGAAAGAGATCAACAAGCTGCAGAGATGCTTCTGGACCTAAAGTCACTATTCAATTAAAAATTTAACTCCACCTGTATCACCCCAATCAAAACTTTAGCACATGTTGCCGTCATGCCAACATCTCATACTCCACAGCATTGATCTACCAGGAGTAACATGCCACTTTAGATGAGACGTAAAGTAGAGGCAATCAATCTGGATTAAGAAAATATTAACTCACAAGGCTTGACCTGTAACAACATGTTAGTAGTCTCTTCTACAAGGGCTTAATTGCTACAGAATGAGACACAACGATCTTCACACACTTCTAAAGGAAATATTTTTTGATCATTTTAAGTGAATTATTCATAACAAGCAATACCAAATAAATTATTTAGGGCTGTTATTGGGGCAGGTGTGGGTGGTGGTTGGGATCACTTAATCACTTAAGTGGTTGGGATAACTGGAAATAATCGTGGTGGGAAGGTGTAATGGTGGTGGGATTGGTGTTGGAATGTTGAATGTAATAAATCATTGTGAACAACTTTGAAAAAATAAAATTAAAAAAATGAGTGGCCTAGGTTCACAGTCCAGGAGAGGTCCAGAATTTGAACCTGACACCTGCCTCCTAGATCAATCCCACTGCCTGACTTCTTTCCTGGAGTGTGCTGGACCTTCCTGACCCCGAGTTACATTAAGTTTCTACATAGAAAGTAGTTAATGGTGAATGCATAAGTCACAACTCTCCCCTCAGTAAGCAGGTTACTGGTCTGTCACCAGTACCATACATGGATATTTGGACCACAGTTATTACTGAATTAATTTCATGGATCCAGATCTAAAGACTGGGTGTCAGGAAGAGCTAAATCTTAAAATAAAAATCAAAATAATTAAAATTCCTTTTCGAAAGAATGTCTTAGTAAAGACCTTTCTTAGCTAGAGCAGACTGTGACTGATGACTTCACAGGGGCCTTATCGTTCGTCCCAGAATCCTCTGCCCCATCAAGTTCTAGTAGAGTAAAATGTACCTTCCTTTTCAGCTCAAGGCCTTAATACAGCAGGTGTTCAAATAATGTCACTTGAGTCAAAATTTTTCAGTATAACATTGAAAAAAAGTCCCCTGGCACTGAGCAAAGATTGATCAAAATGACATTATTCAAGGATCAAATCGTGTTAAATATTGTTTGACTTAAATTCAGTTTCCAAGAACTCCAATTAAATACAATATACCCCCAAGCTTTATAAACTAGAAACTTGATGGCTAAAATGGTAGAACACATGCCTTGCACGTGTGAAGCCCAGGGTTCAGCCACAGACACAGCCTGATCTCAGAGCACCACCACCACAACAAGGCAAAGAAAGAGCAGCTACTACTACTGAACGAAATCCAAGGGATGCCACCTGCAGATTAGAGCAGGGGTGTATTTTAAGCAGTGGGCTGGTGTCAGTGGAAAAGATTCCCCTGGAATCATACCACTGAGACAACTTTCTCCTTTACCCATGCCCCTGGAATATGGTAGTACTCAGTGAACGTTTCTTGAAATTAGCAGCTGAAACCACACGCTGAAGAGAATTTTTGCACATGCTTATCACTGGAACACCAATTAAGTGTTATATCAGTTACAGTCAATACTCCTGAAGGAAGCATATTTCTGAATCAGTGAGCGCTTGGATTAAAGAAAGCTAAAGAAAGCTTATTCCTTTGATGTTTGGATAACACTGTAATGTTTTATAGCCATTGGTGAGAATTCAGTAGAGAAACATTTTGACTGTGCACACCCCCACAAATTTACATGACTATTTTCCTGATTTTATAAATATCATAATTCTTTTTGTTCCAATTTTGCAATAAACAGCACAGACTAAACATTCGCTAAAATAAGACCATGCATGTGTCCCCAGACCTAGTTCTTTAACCATGTAGGTCTGCTCTTAGAAATGCCGGTGATACATTTTTTTTAAAAAATTAAATATTATAACTGAAATTATTAAAGCTGCAGAGATATAAAGTGGTATCAAACTCTGTCTCTGTAATACTTTTTTGTCAAATAACCCTCTCTTAGAGACCCAATTTTATCATTTATATAATTGATTTAATAGCCTTTTAAAGGTGGTTGCAGCGCTCCTTTGGACAAATGTATCTAGGGTCAAATAGTAAATTACAAAGCACTATATATTGGTCAATTAATGTTTGTAAGAGAAATGTTAATAATTTCCCTTAGCAAGTATTATAAAAATAGATTTTAAAAAGTGGCCGTTTCTGTAATCTTGAATTTGGAGATGCCTAGAGGATCATCTTTAGACAATTTAGCCTCTGAGTTTAAGGTTTTTGATTGTTTTTCTTTGGTTTTTCAGTGTTCTTGGCCTATCCTACCAATCTAGCACATGAGCCTAATTCAGTTTTGCTCCATGCTTCAGAGAGTTTTAAGACAGCTATTAAAACACCACATGGAAAAGCTTTGCAGGGAATTCTACTCCACAGAGAAACCACAAAAACCACTACACACCTTAACTCTCTCCGCATCCCCAACAGTTGGCTAAAATTATGGTTCCATTATAGTAGTACAACCCAACCAGTTTTATTGCTTGGAGCAAAATCTGAGGTCCAAAATGAACTTCAGAACATTGAAAGAAAAAAAAAGGAAGGCGAACCTCAAAAGGAAATAAGCTTCTTTGGGTTTTCAAACAAATATTACATATCAGAGGCATTCTTCTAACAGAGGAGATCGGGCAAGACCAAGAGGAGTCCTGCTAATTGCCCCACAAATATAAAATTGGAATCAGGAACTGACCCCAAAGAAAAGAGATCTCTTTTCATCATCAGATTTTAAAGGCTACAATCTTTCATCAACTCATTCCTCAGGCATGAGTCTCTTTACTGCCTTCCTTGAGTCCTCTCATGAGGTACTATCTTCCATATTACAAATTAAGACATCTATAGACTCAACAATAGCATGCTTTGCCACCTTATTGTAGCTGTATTCCTTTTCCCTATCTTCCTTTCTCTAATTTATATGTCATTAGTCCATAAAACATGGTGGTGAACTGCATGAATTTGTATGACCCTAAAAAACAAGATAATCAACTAAGACTCTTCTGGTGGGCCACCCATAGACAATTCATTTTCTTGCAGTTAAATCAAGTGTCTTCACTTCATTTGTTTTCTACAAGGTCACTGGTAGTTTATCTTCTGCACTCATTTTGAGTGCAGAATTCCTAAGAATACTTTCTAATGGACCAGAGATATAACAAAACTATTCATTACAAGCACTCTAACCCCTTCTTGTAAAAGTTCAATTAAATGCCAGAATCTGTGCTAATATATTGGTAGCCAAATTATAACCTGGATATTCTAATATCTGGAAACAACACAGCAGTTTTTCATATGACTATTGATGTTCTGCATTTCAGGTCTACAACGATGGTCTTTAAATTATGATGTGAGGAAGAGTGGACATACAAGGATGATTTTGAGGGAATATATGATCTTTTAGATACCTGAGTTTGTTTTATGCAAGTAAATGATGGGGTAGAGGGTCTCTCTAAAAATAGCTGGTGGTGATACAGTAAGATTATAAGCATAAATCTTGAATAATACTGTTTTAGAGAATTGTGCCCTCCCTAATTAATAAAAAGGAGATGTTTATTTCAACAAGCCTTTATTAAATCAATGACAAAATATCTAGGACAAAAATATTGATGAAAATGGCTAAAATAGGAATTTTAATGTGAGCAAACAATCCATTTAAAAACGTTCACTGTCACTGTCCTCCTGTTGTTCATCGATTTGCTCGAGGGGCCCAGTAACGTCTCCATTTTGAGACTTCTTGTTACTGTGTTTGGTATATTGGATACGTTACGGGTAGCTTGCCAGGCTTTGCTGTGAGGGCGAGATACTGTCTGTAACTTGCTGGACTCTCCAAGAGGGGCAGAGGAATCAAACCCGGCTTGACTGGGCTGGCTGTGCACAAGGCAAACATCCTACCCTTGTGCTATTGCTCCAACCCATATTTTAAAACATTCCTTTAAAAGATCTTAGAGGTGTGGGGAGATTGAACAATGATCAACCCTTCTCAAGAAATTAAGAACTGAGTTTCTAACTAAGCCAGCAGTCCCACTTCTTAGCATTTACCCAATGCCCAAAAATTCTATTCACAAAAGACACTTGCATTCCTATGTTCATTGAAACACTACTCATACTCGCTAAAATCTGGAAACAAGCCATGTTGACCCAAAATAAGAACTGGACAAAGCTATGGCATACTCAATGGAATACTACTTTGGTTATAAGAAAAGGTGAAATCAAAAAACTTGCTTCTACAAGCATGGATCTACAGAGTATAAAGCTGAGTGAAGTTAGTCAAAAGGAAAGGGACAGAATTATCTCTCTTATATGTGAAACATAAAGAAGCATAGAATAAGGAACTTATTCTATGAATAAGTTAACCACTCTAGGAACTTAACCACTCTAGTTACACTGGGTTGGCATTGAGGCAGTGAGGATATACAACATTTAAGAGCTGGATGATCAATGATCTTGATAGTTCTATACAGGCAAATGAAAGGTAAAACATGTTGATCAATGTCAATAAATGCAGCATGAGGGCAGAGGAGAATGTGGAAGTTCTTGATATCTTCCTCTCCTCCAGAATGCTTGTAATTTCTTCAAATTTCAAATTTCTACAGTCACAGTTTTAGATTAAGGTTTCTTAGGAGACAGACACAAGGATGAGGAGAGCCAGGAGGGATGGTATCACTGAAGCCAGGGGACAAATTGTGTTATGTCTTCAAGGTAACTAGAAGGTCATAGTTTGATTTGGGCAAAACTACTTCCTTATCATTCCTTCACCTGTGCAATTCTATACCCTCAACTCATATCTCCCTTACAATATAATCCTCATTTAAGGTTAGGTGACAAAATATTTCAAGTTAAAGATTATGATAAATTTCAGATACCTAGACTTGGTTATGGTTATTAATTTTTCTCCAATTACACAGGTACATAGACTCTACTTATAAATACATCAGTGCAGTAATTCATGGGCTGAAGCAATAGCACAGCAGTAGGGCATTTGCCTTGTGTACAGCCAGCCCGGCCGAGCTGGGTTCGATTCCTCCTCCCCCCTCAGAGAGCCTGGCAAGCTACCGAGAGTATCTCACCCGCATGGCAAAGCCTGGCAAGCTACCGTACCATATTCAATATGCCAAACACAGTTACAACAAGCCTCACAATGGAGACATTACTGCACCCGCTCAAGCAAATCGATGAACAATGGGAGGACAGTGACAGTGACAGTTTCTTTCCTATTGATTCTCTAATACAATCTTTACAATACTTCTTTCAACAGTGTAATGAAGAGAGCACTGGATTTACTAACAGAGAATTTGAGCATTAGTTCCTGATTTCAGCTACATGCACTGTAGCACTGTCCTCCCATTGTTCATCAATTTGCTCGAGTGGGCCCAGTAACATCTTCATTGTGAGACTTGTTGTTACTGTGTTTGGCATATCGAGTACTTCACGGGTAGCTTGCCAGACTTTGCTGTGCAGGCAGGATACTCTCCGTAGCTTTCCAGGCTCTCCAAGAGGGGTGGAGGAATCGAATCCGGGTTGGCAGGGTCGGCCCCTTGCAAGGCAAACGCCCTACCCACTGTGTTACCGCTCCAGCCCTAGCTACATGATCCTGGAAAAATACTCAGGTATTCAAATATTTGAACTTAGTAAAATAATACTTACAGCAGAAGCCATTCATCTATTCAATCATTACTAAATAGGTAATTACTATGTATTAAACATTAAAATGGACAGTAGCAATAAAATACATAGCATGAGGTATATCACTATCCTCAAAACAGCATCAACTTGAGGAAGGAAATACACAAAGACAAAAAGGATATTATAGGTCAAAATATTTCAGAATCATGAAGAACTGTATAACATGTTACTTTTTCAATACCTAGTGCATCCTAATTAATTCAGTAATTAACAGTTCTTATGTGGGTACCTATGTTATACATGTTATCCTAGAAATGCAGAATATACAGGTGAACAGATAAGGACAACTGAAGGAAAAGAACTATTTCTGTACATTCAACGGGGACAGATGTCAAAGTATAATGCTAGATATAAGGCAAGTTACAAGGGCCTGGTACATGGATCTGTGGCTATGCCACAAGCATGAGGCCACAAGTTTAATCTCAGGCATGAAAAGAACAAACTATACCCATCTGTGTAAATTAAAAAATCAACACATTATTAAATTATGATATAAATATTGTTCATGTATATAGATAAATGAAAAGGTTAAGAAATGTATAGAAGGATTATGATCATGTGTTTCTTGGAAGGGAGGAAAGGAATGGAACAGGGGCACTGAAATGGAGTCAAGATGCACCCTGACTTTTTATTAGTGATATTTTAAAAAGACAAACTAGGGGCTGGGGCGATAGCACAGTGGGTAGGGCGTTTGCCTTGCATGCGGCCGACCTGGGTTCAATCCCCAGCATCCCATATGGTCCCCCAAGCACCACCAGGAGTAATTCCTGAGTGCAGAGCCAGGAATAACCCCTGAGTATCGCTGGGTGTAATCCCCCCAAAAAGCAAAATAAAATAAAATAAAATAAAAAATAAAAAGACAAACTAGCTATTGGCGGGAGCACTCCGACAACAGTAGAGCACTGGCCTTGCATTTGGCCAACCTGGCTTCAATCCCTGGCATCCCATATGGTCGTTGAGCACTTCCAGGATTAATTCCTACCAGGTGTGTCCTCTCCTCCCTCCCCAAAGAGACAAATTAGCAATTGCCAATGTTTAGATAGCACCAACGTGCTCGTTATATTATCCTTTATGCTTTTCTGGAGTGATAGCACAGCGGGTAGAGCATCTGCCTTGCACGCAGCCAAACATGGCCGACCCGAGTTCGATTCCTCCGCCCCTCTCGGAGAGCCCGGCA